GCCAGCACTTATGGGACACCCACTGTTTACCGAGTATTAGAAAATGGAGGGCATGGTGGGGACTTAATGATTGCTCTTTTTACACTGGAAGTTTCTGGGCTGAGTATGAGTTTTGTTTTCCCTCTGCCTTTTCATAGTGTACCTTATAAACATCTTATTTAAATCACCAAATTCTCCAGCATTTTCAATAAGGTATTTAAAAAAACCCCAACATCTAGCTCCCTGATTAACAAGCCTCAGAGGATTTTTAGAGAACAAGTCATAGCAGGCAAAGTTGTATGTTTGTGTGTGTGTGTTTTAATAGAATTGCTGAAGGAATAAAAAAAGGAATCCAATACATGTAACCTTGCATGGTTTTTAGTATATATCTGATACATGGTCTCATGACATTTTACTTTGAAACTTGATTAAACTTGGCTACAGATGAGCACTGTTCCACTGAGTGACCACACAGAGAGGGCCAGGGAACATTGCAGAATGATCAGCTGTCCTGCATCACCTTGGGAGGTAGTAGTTAGTAGTGTGCCTCAAGTACTGGAGAAGGGTCTTCCTTTTTTCAATGTCATTGTTAACCTAACAGAAAAAGTAGAATTTGCCTGATGTTACTACACTGAAATGAGCCCTCAACTACAGAGTATTAAGAAATAGTAACCAGGAGCCAAACAAATTAGAAATGAATAGAAAGGATGTTAACTGATTGAATACTACTTTATAGATGAAAACTAAGTCTGAGGAAGGTAGAGAAGCCAAAACTGTACAGCTAGTAAGTAGTTGCATTACCAGTATTCATACATATCTAATTGACTCCAAAGTTATTTGATTATTACATCATTCAGAATGTCATTAAGCCCAAGTTACAATATGGTATAACCATTAACATACCAAAATTGTTGCTTAAATAAAGTTGCCTTTATTTGGGTTAATTTATCTACCTTACATGAATTATACTTTCACAGTACTTTTTACTTCTCTTATGATTTTTAACAACTTTTTGAGAAATAATTTATATATATACAGTTCACTCATTTGAAGTGTACAATTTAATATTTTTAGCATATTCACAGGGTTGTGCAACCATTAGGAGGCATTTTCCATTCCCTCCTGTCCACCCCCCAACCCCCAACCCTAAGCAACCACCAGTCTACTTACAGTGTTTATCGCTTTGCCTGTTCTGGACATCTCAAAGATGATACCACACGCAGTCCTTCTGACTGGCTCCTTTAACTCAGCAGAATGTTTTTAAGGTTCATCCATGTAGTGGCATGTGTAAGTACTCCCATCTCTTTTTATGGCTGAATGGTATTCTATTATATAGATATGCCACACATAATTTATCTGTTCATCAGTTGATGGACAGACATTTGAGTTGTTTTTGCTTTTGGGCTGTTGTAAATCATGCTGCTATAAACATTTGTGAACAAGTTTTTGAGTGGACATATATTTTCATTTCTCTGGGGTACAAGCCTAGAATTGTAATTGCTGCCTCATATGGCAACTCAATGTTTACCTTTCTGAGGAACTGCCAGCCTGTTTCCAAAGTGACTGAGCCATATCACATTACCACTAGCAATATGTGAGGGTTCCAGTTTCTCCACATCCTTGTCAACACTTGGTATTGTCCATCTTTTTACCTCTCTCATTTAATTCTCATAGGATTATAATTATAAAATAAATGAGGATTATTCATACTGTTATTTTATAGATAAAAACTCCAAATCAGTAAACATTAAATGAGAAACACAGGAAGTGGCATGGATAATTCAAAACAACATATCATCCAAAAATAATTTAAATGTTTTTGAATCTGGCACTTACAGCTATGTTGGATGTTGGTGATCATATTTCCCGCCCCTACATTTTAAAGGTGATGAACCTAGAGCCTAGAAAAGGGAAGTAAATTGCACAGTGACATAAAGTTTCTCCCTAGGGAAGGCGGTCCCGGCACAGCCTGCTGTATTCAGCCCTAGGGGATGTATAAACTCACCCATATCATATGACTCCGTTTTCTTCACTCATTCATCCATGCTGGCCTTTTATTAAAATAAACCTATCTTAATTCATATGGGGGTATTAGAATATCAGCAAAGAGGAAACCTGCCGTTGGGAAGCTTCTGATAGAATTTGTTCCACATATGCCTATGATGAAATCGATGTGCAGGCAGAAAATCAATGCAGGTGATGTTACTTGGTGACATTTCTTGGGTCAGATTGCTTGGGTATAAATTCTGGCTCTGCTGCTGACTAACTGCTTTGACCCTTTCTGTATTTCTATCTCATTTTTTTTTAATATTTTTTTATTTTTAGAGCAAGAGAGTGCATGCGGAGGGAGGGCAAGGGGAGAGGGAGAATGAGAGAAGCAGACTCCCCGCTGACTGGGGAGCCTGATCCGGGGCTCGATCTCAGGACCCTGAGATCATGACCTCAGCCAAAATCAAGAGTCAGATGCTCAAACAGCTGAGCCACCCAGGAGCCCCTCTGTCTCCTTATTTTTAAAATGGGGGCAGTAATAATTTCTACCTTATAGAATTGTTTTGAGAATAAAATGAGCTAATCTCTGTAAGGAGGCTCCTAGAAAGCCCCAGTTAATGATGACAATTATTATTACATAACATCAACTTGCTTAGACCGCTGAAAAGACTGTAGTCTGTGATTTGTAGAAAATAAATAAATCATCCCTTTTTTTAAAGTAGCTTCACTAAAGGAGCAGGTGTAGTAAATAAATAGCTAATTTCTAAAGTCTTCATAATTTTGAATTATATGGAACATTGTTTTAAGAGAAAAAAAAAACTTCCCATCCTTTACAAATGATGAACTAATTTCCTTATACCATAACTTTGGGCAGAAATAAGCCTGGAAGTTTCAACCTGAGTTGACCTCATGATAAAAGCCCCAACAATGGGGAAATTTAACTACAGCACATATGCCTGTTATGGATGTAATGTATTAGTAGTGTTTTTCCTTAGTATCTTCATTTGATTATCAAGATAAAAACCTACTGGATTATTTTAAGGAACCTACTGTATATATTTGTGTACCATTGCAGAAGAAAAAGCACTCAGTGGGGAATCAGGAGACAGGAGTGGAATCCTGGTGCTTCTCTGCTGTAGTTCCTGACCACGGGCACTAAGCTCATCTGAGCACTAAGCTTCTGTTTCCTCATCTGGAAATGGGGGCTGCAGGGATCAACAGTTCCTATCTCAGAGGGTAGTCATGAGGACCAAGTGATAATCTGGATATAACAGCACTAGCACAGTGCCTGGCCCACAGTCAGGGCTCAGTAAATGACAGCTAAACAGCAATGTAATAGGGTTCTGTGTGCCACACATGAGATTTGGAGGCAGCTTTGATGGTGAGTTTAGGTGAAGGAATTGGACATGTCTGTGTTCACACAGTATGATTCATGTCTGCTCTGCTTTGCTGCTCCTGCTTTCCTGTAACCAATTTTAGAGCCGATCTTGGCAGCTGCAAGTATTTGGGATTAATTTCACACTCACTTTATGAGTTGAGCATTTTCCTGCAAGCTGCTCCCTGGGCCTCTGCCTCATTACTTTGGCATCAACTGATATGGCAGTTGGACATAGATGTCCTTTGGGGTCTCCATTTTATTTGAAAACCTTCAATTCGAAAAAGCAAAACAAAGGCCATCAACACATTTGTGTTTGAAATCGTTAGCATGTATTGTTTCCTAAACCCCTCCCTTTCTGAGTTCTGTTGAACACCAGGGAACACACATCTTGCACAGCCAGTGATGAGCACTGAAAAATCACTCTCCTTCAGATTTAAGCCCTAGCAGCTGGTTGGCCTCGTTTTGCAGTTCCAGGTGAGCAGCGAGATCCTCTAGGCCTTGGTGGGACAGATCTAAATCTTGATGGGTCTACGTTTTCCAGCCCTTTTTACTATGTTAATTCTGCTAAATTCATTTGGCTCTTATGGAGAACAAAGTAAACTTGGCCGTTATATGTAAAACCAAATTGAGAACATGGAGATCTGTTTAGTATTTCATGCTGGCCATTAGGTCAGGAAGATTTTCCTTGGGGGTAATTTACATAAGGAATTGTTTATCCCATTTCTTTCCAATTTCTGTGACCGTTTGGGGATAGCAGACTTTCCACAATGGCACAGAAATATAACCAGCAAGACCGAATCTTAGAGAAACGATGCTTCTCCCAGATTGATGTATTTTGGGCCTTGCTCAGGAAAGATCCTGTGGCTTGGGCTGCTGTCTCACTGAGAAGTCATTCTTCCACCACAGCTGTGTTTAGCAAGTTGGGTGGGTCTATGAACTGACATGCTGTTACACTTAGTAAGAATTTTCCCTTGATAGTGAGGAACGTGCGTAACAGCCTTACTTTAAGTCCCAGCAAATGCCCAAATGTTTACTATGATCGATAGCTGCTTTGAGTGCAGCCTCCATCAGGGAACACCCACACTCTCACAGTACTATAGTGTTACGTGCATGCCCTTCACCTTGACATTCTGCTTCCTCTACAATAGATGCCCAGATTACCTTTTTTTTTTATCCCATCAAATGCTGTTCTCAAACTGGAATATTTGCTCCTTCCTGAACAAGCAGCCTCTACTTTTCTGCTTTAATGCATTTGTTCAAGTTGTTTCCTGCACTTTTAAAGCGCCCTCACTCAACATCTATTCTTGAGGATGAATTTCAGGTACCTCTTGCAGTGGCACGCTGGTAAATATTTAACAACTCGTTCTCTGGGAAGGAGAGGTGTTGGGAGGATTTGTTGATGTTCATGTTGTAAATACTTCTGCCGTGGCTGATTTCAGTCTACCAATGTGAGGTCACTGAATGCGAAGTTGGGAAGAAATGGGCAATAACCCACCATTGCAGTGTTTCCAGCATACAGATACAATAAGCATAAATAACCTCAAGGGCCTAGAGAATAGTAAACAAATAAGGAAGTAACGAGTTTTGAGTATTTATTACCTTTGTTTTGTTGTAACTTATTTAATTTTAAGTTTATGTAGCTTAATTTTTAGTAATGGCCGAGTTTAACAGCTGGTATACAAAACTGAAAATCAAACGACCCATCCTTTCTCTGGAGCCTGTAGGAGCTGGACAAGTTGGTTCCAGCACACCACTGCTTCTTCCTCTACCTTTTCTTTCCTAAAGTGCTCCAGAATCAGTAAGTCCTTTCTCTGAACCTAGAAGGTGCTTCAGGTTGCATGCAGGCTTTGAAGTGAGAGACTCTAAGTTTGAATCCTGCTCTCTCACTTCCTAGGTGATGGTCAGGCTGAGTGCTTAATTTGCAGTTCCCAGTGCAAAATGAAAATGCAGGGCCCTTGTTAAAAGGCCGGAAGAAAGTGCTGTTAAAATAACTACTAAAATACAAAGCTTTTTTCTTTCTTCAGTAGTCTCTCTTTCACACCTTCTGATGGTGTTTTTATTTTCTATTTAATGCCATTCCAAGTAAGGAGAAATTTAAATTTGAAATTGTTACCATGAATTTTAACCATTAATCTTATATTGTGCAAGCCCGTTCTAAATGCAAATATAAGAACATTTAATGCTATGAGTTAATGAGCATTATCTCCTCTTCTCATATGCATGTCTATCATCCCTTCATTGACTTCACTTATAAAACACAAGTTCAAAAATAAAATTATTTAGAATTTCAAGACAGAGGGACTCCTGGGTGGCTCAGTTGGTTAAGCGTCTGACTCTTGATTTCAGCTCAGGTTTTGATCTCAGGGTCATGAGATCATGCCCACATTGGGCTCTGCATAGGGTGTCAAGCCTGCTTAAATTCTCCCTCTCTCTCCCTCTGCCCCTCCCCCTGCTCACACTCTCTCTCTAAGAAAAAAAAGAAGAAGAATTTCAAGACAGAGACAGCAGGGCATTTAAACCAAGCACGGAGCCCTTCTAAGCATGGGTGTTGCATCCCTGTGAACAGTACTGGACAAATTCCTTACATCTGCTGAGCCTTAGAGGCCTCATCTGTAAAATAGAGATCATTCCAAGTGGGTGGAGGTGTGGGGATTGAAGGCACTGACACCTGTATGGCACAGCAGAATGTTTGGCATGTAGTCTGTGCTCACTTAATTACAGGGATTATTATTAACCTAACAATTATATTAATGTCATTCTCCTTTATCATCCATAGGGTCTTCCCTACAATGTCAACATTTGCCTCTGAAGTTTTTTCCTTTCTCCATTATAAACTCTCTGAAGGTAGAGATTAGATCTGTCGCCATTGAATACCCTAGAGTGCTTCCTGCAAATTCTTGCATATACCTGGCACTTAGGAGGTGTTTATGACCTTGATCTTTGTGTGATTTGGGCTTATCAACAATAAAGCATCTGTGTCATTATATGATGGTCCTCACCATGAGGCTTAATTGGTAACACTCACAGGAAGAAAAAAATATAAACAGACTTTAATAGGAGTTAGTTGTAATCATGGTGAGGGTGGGGGAAGAAGCAGATGATTCCAGGTGTTTTGGTTTAAGGAAAGTGGCTCTGTCTCTTAGAGGGGACTTCTTGAAGGAATAGGGAAGGGATGAGTTCCAAGCCTCATTTGAGTAAAAGAGGCCTCAGGGATATTAACTCTGGCCGATAGTAATCTGTCCCTTTGCTAACTTCTTTTACACTTATTTTCTGTTCTGCACAATTAGGACATTATTTCAGTAATGTTTCTTTCCACTAATTGGTTGTGTATGTATGTTTCCTGTCCAACAAATTATAAGATCCTTATGGACTATAAGATATCATGTACTTTTCTGAACACCTATGGAAAGGAAGTAGCACAGTATTAGGTACATAGTAAACAATGCACTTTTTTGTAATGCTGACCTTGGTCCAAACTCCCAGGGCTCCCTGGAGAACTGAATGTGAATTGTGATTGTCTTTTCTATCTCCTGCAACCCCTCAACCAAATGGCAAAGAATCTTGGTCTGCCCAGCATTGTCAGGCAAGGACCTTCAATCGCTTTGTCTTTTCCGAACCTGTATCTCTTTTCCAGCATCTCCCAGATATTCTGAGGACTGTCCCCCTACAGCCCCTGTTGCTACATGGAATTTGGGAGACCACACAGCTGTAAACTCTTACTTGTTTGATGATTTTTTAACAAGCCCTTTGGGCCAGTGTCAATAAGCCATGAAATATCACCAAATGGTTCATGTGCACTAGAGTTCTGAAAGTCATCTAAGCTCTAGTTCCTCAAGCTGGCAGGGACTGATAGAAAGGAGCTCACATTGCCCTGGCTTTTACTATTCCTGTTCTGGGGGCTGTCAGTTCATTACTTTTAATGAGCACAAAATTCACCAAGACATTAAAATAAAACACCAATGGGCAGTCTTGGATGTTCCATCCAATTGTTGCTTTAGTTCTTTTTTCCATAGGATTATTCAAGAGGTTAAAAAAAAAAAAAAAAACCAATTCTACTCCTGCCAATTTTATCCTAAGTAGATTTGGCATTGTAAAGCTAACACACCCTGAGCACTTTTTTTTTCTTTCAGGTCCCTGTGGGCTAGTGCCTGACATTTGTGTTAAAAATGACATTACTCAATTGGTCAAATGTTTGAACATTATCTACCTTTTGGTTATAATAAAGAAATACTGGATATCCCAGCATCATGTAACATGTAAAGAATAATAATCAGAGGCAGTTATTTTCTGAAGAGTGTGTAATGAAGTCATTATTTTAAATTATGTGGCAAATGCGGTTATTTTGATATTTTTTAATCAGTCTCGGTGGCTAGTAATAAAGACTATTGTAACCGTATTTGAGGTTACTTATATTATCATATATTGTAGAAGGTCAATTGATGGTGAAGCAGACACTGAACAATGTCCCCATTAAGCTGATTTCATGGATATTTTCATCTCCTGGCCATATGGGTTTGGAATTACCTTAGGGATTTTTTTTTTTTTTTAAAGAAGGAAGTGAACAGATGAATGATAACTATTTTATTACTCAACATAGCTTGTGTTTGTGGGAGACAAAGTTCATCAATTTGTTTTAAAGAAAAACAAGAGTGTGCCAAATGTAATTTGTTGAGGGCTCAAGAATTGTGAAATTATCCCTAACTGAAGTTTGTCATTTCTGCAGGTAATCGCTCTAGCAGATGCAGTAGAGGAAAACCAAGACAATCTGTTCCAGTCATTCACCAAGCTGAGAAGTGCCACCCAGCTAGTGATTCTGCTGATTGGGCTGTGGCAGAAGCTTAGTCCTGACCAGGTTGCTATTCTGGAAGCAGCATTTCTGCCACTGCAGCAGGACACTCAAGAATTGGTAAGGACCCACAAGCCTGCAGTGGTAACAGCCATCATTATTGAAAAGAGTGTGGTTTTGGGAAGATCTCACATGGCTATCATGTTTTCTAAGGTATCAGATGGAGGCTTTTTTTTTTTTTTTTAACCGAGATCCTGTTTTTCTTTTCTTTAAACCATAATAAAAATGTCAAATAAAGGCCTTTTTTTTCTAGAGCTATTTTAAAAATAGGTATATAGTCCATTTTTATGTGGTGTTCAGTCTATTTTTTATGTGCTCTTCAATCACTTAGAAGCCAGGGAAATAGTCATTTGACTGCCTGAGCGATGGCAGTAAACCTTCAGATTAGCTAATCCTTTCCTTTTCCACCAGAGAAAACAGTTCAGCCATTTTAATTTGCTCAATGTTCTTAAATTTAAGTGTTACTTCAAGGGTTAGGGAGAGCTGAGATAGCCTTGTTAAATGACAGGAATATTTTGTTACATTTATATAGTTCTTTGTATATAATGTATAAACTCCTTTATTCTTGGCTCTTTGAGTAGGCAGTTTAGAACCAAACGGGAAAATGAGGGTTCATATTTGGAGTTTTTGGTGAAAGATTATATGAGTAAAAACGTCTTAGAGCCCTTGAATTTTAGAGCTTTATATGACTACCAGGTGTCATTTTTGGGGAACTTTTTGCATGCTTTTATATACAAACAAATAATATACTTTTGGAAATTAGAGACCCCTGGACTTATTTTCTGTATTGGAAGAAACCATTTCAAGAAAAAAGTCATTTCAAATCCATTTTTAAGCACAACTATGAGAACATAGGACTAAAAATAATAGTACTAAAACTAACATTTTTGAGTGCTTACTAGGTAGGCACTAGGTGGTATTTTAAGTGTTTCACAAGGATTATCTCATTTAATCTTAAAATGGCCAAAGGTAAGGTAGTTAAGGTACTGTTTTCATCCCCATTTTATATATGAAAATTTTAGGCTTTGAGAGTTAAGTACCTTTTGGAAACTAGTGGGTGGTAGAGCCAGGATTTGGGCCCAGGTCTGGCTGCTTTCAAAGCATATATTTTTAACCAATACACTGTATTTTAGCAAACAAAGTCATGAACAAGATTTTGAAAATCACAGGCTTTGTCAGTTGAATGTAATTTTCTAAGGATTGTCAGATGAAAAAAAAAATCAAACTATATTTTATGTCCTAAACAAAATACTAATAAATAAATTGCAAGAAAATTTAGAGTACACCTTTTTCTTAGATTGAGAAAGTAAAATTACTGCTAAAATTGATTTTTGAGACGCTAGGAATAGGGACATTGTAGTAATAGAAAACAATACAATTAGGAGTGTATTAGCAAGAATGATAACTATGAACTCAGATTTAGCAGTCAGAAAGACGTGGGTGGCCTCAGTTCCTGGTTCCACCACTTGATGCTAAAATCCTTCTGATCAGGTTTTCTAGCTGTTCTAAATCTCTGCTTCTTTAGCTCTAAGCTGGAAGCAATAATAGGACCTATGCAATATTGAATAAGAATTAAATGAGATAATGGAATAGAGTGGAATTATATCTTACTCATTTTTATTTTCTCAGCATCTGGCACAATGCCTGACCATAGCACAGTCAATATTTGTTGGGTGAATGACTGGAGAGAAGGGTGAAAGCTAATAAGAGCTAATAAGAGCTGACTTGGCAGAACAGAGGTAGTAGATATAATCTGGAGCATGAAGGATCAGGGCAGGGCCAGCTGTATAACTTACAGGGCCCAGTGCAAAATGAAAATGTAGATCCCCTGTTCAAAAAAGTAGAGAAAAGTGCTAAAGTGTTGTTAAAACAGATACTAAAACAAAGCTTTTTACTTTCTGCCATCTCTCTCTCATCATGGTGCTTTATTTACTATTTTATGTTGTTCTTAATGAAGAAAAATTAAAAATTTAAGTTGTTAGCATGAATTTTACCCTCAATCTTTAGAGTGTGCAATGCCAGTTTTCATATAAATATAAGAGCAGTGACCCTATATGCAGAATCACCAAAATTATGTAATTTGTATTTTGTAGCTCATGCATGCATATGTATTTTGTTCTTAAAGAACTTGTGAATCACTGCACAAAATTAACTTTTATTTTCACTTCTTTATATGCACACATCTACCAACACTTTCCACCTTCAGCTTACTGATGAGTAAGGAAGGAGAGAAAGGAAAAGGAGCTCTGTGTTACTCTATTTCCCCTTCCTTCTGTTACCATTTTCAGTGTAATAGTTGGATAATACAGGGAAGTAACAGGAGTGTAATGGACTGCCTTGGTCATTCCTGTTTCTTTCTTCATTCAAAACAAGTTTTGGTGCAAATGAAAAGCCTTGAAGGGAAAATTCTTTCAACTTTCTTCTGAATGTGGTGAGATTAGAAGGTGTGTATACTCGTTATGTCCATCGAAGTCATTAATGAGACAGGACATTTGATAAAAACATAACTTGGAGAAGAATGAATCAAGAAAGACATTTTAATACTGCTTGTTACGCTCTTCATCTTTAATTAGGTTGTGGTATTCACTTTGGACTTATACTGTTGAGACAGCTTATATATCTGGGGAAAAAAGGAATCTTTTTTCATTCTTTAAGACGTACGCATGCAGTATGTGGTTTTGACATGCTAGTTCACAATCCCCCACGTTATGCCTTTAGACCTCACAAATAAATGTTATGTGATGGGTATCCCACTGAGATGTGAAAATGAAATATGCAAACCTGAAATAACTTGGAGGGAGGGTGAGGCGGGGAAGAAAGGAGTCTGACCAGAATGTTGAAAATATATCCCATATTGAAGTTATTATGATACCACAAAAATCTGAATGTAATTTAGATGGTTTGGTTGAAAGTGGATGGCAGAGTACATGTGTGAGGGGGAGAACTTCAGACATGTGGACAACATTTTCAGAAGAGACTCTCAGTTCAAGGTCAGATGTCCCCACAAGTATTGAAAAGTAGAAGAAAGTACTCAGAAGAGGTTTTATTTATGTTTCAAATAGCACTGCATAATGGTTTGTTGTATTGTTATTGAGATAGCATGTGTCACAAAGGCAGGCAAAATGCCCTAGTTCCCTCTGGAATATTTTCTTACTGGCATCGGATTCACAAAGCAAAAATATTTATAATTTATTATTACTAATGAAAAGGAACGTTCTTCACACTATATTATCAGTAGTTTTTTTTTTAAAAAAAAATACCATCTCATTTGGAACAGAATTCATCATTGTTTTCTTTGATCTGTTTCTTTAGTGATGCTTTTCTGTTTTTGCCACTTCTTATAACTGTTTTGGGGCAAATAAATGCTGGTATTGTGGAATATTACACGTGACTTTTCCAAGGTGCTGAAAGTTATATATGCCAAATGTGTTTTTTTTAGGGATACTTCCCTTCACTTTAAGAAAGACATTAAGTGTTTTCTTTGTCATCTCCAAAAAGAGCTCTTAAACTCAGTTCCATCAGTGGATTTGATAATAAATATGATATTGTCCCTGCCATCTTCCTGTCATGATAGAGAGGTTTTGCCCCAAATAGTGTATTCTCTCAGAGTACCTGATGCGTCAATTCTAAAATGAATTGTTTTCTTACTTTCAGGTTAGGGGCTGAGGAGATTTCAGAGTATTCGCAATGCAGAATTTAAACATGTTTAAATTGTTTAAACTGACCCTTTATCTGTTTGAAGCTCTATGGAAAATATTATCTCTACTTAGGTCAGTGAGGGCTGGGTTACTGGTTTGAGTCTGAGAGAGTGTTTAATTGTGATAGTACATGTATCTCCCTTTCATGATGTATAAAAGCCAAAAGCTGCAAAACTATACATACCTCAGGATTGACTTGAAGTCTTATCCAGTCATTTATGCATTCAATGAATATTTATTAAGCATCTGCTGTGTTTCAGGCAGTGTTGTAGGCTTTCAGCATATTTCAATAAACAAAACAGAGTTGGATCCCATCCTTTTGGATTTACATCAACATTTTAAGCAGATTCCAGTCACATTCAGCCATAAACATATTGGCTGTCTGATATGTTAGCTACTTGCCAAATGTGGCTATTTAAGTTGAAATTTTCATAAATTAAAGTGAAATAAAATTTCATTTCCTCAATTTCACTAGCTATATTTCAACTGCTCAATAGCCACATGTGGCTACCATTAGTGGCTACCACATTGGAAAGTGCAGATATAGAACATTTCCTTCACCACAATAATTTCTATTGCATAGTACTCTCCGTCATTAAAAGAGAAAGGGTTTTGTCAATTGGGTTGACAACTCAAGCACATATTAACAAATTAATGAGAGAAGGGTAGGATGCTGACATTAAGTTATGCCACCGTGTTTGCTTTAGCAGCCCTTATTCCTGATAGTCTGGTATCATCTTCCTGGTCACATGTGCAATAACCAGGCTTTCTTCAGGGAGATGAATGCATCTACACAAAAGGGAGGCAATAAGCTGGTGCAAGTGCTGCTATTCCCCCTTCACATGACCTTGGTAGACATTATAATCATCCCAGATTCTTTCCTGTTGAGCTGGCAAAATGACCTCAGAATCCTTTTGAATACAGCATTCTAGGTAGTCACTATCACTTGCAGTTGGTATGTGGATGAATCCTCTTTGCCCTTCCTGATCTCTGTACAAATCTGCTTCTCATTTTCTTAGCAAACAGCTTAGATGACTAAGATTCTTTCACATAAAGTCCAGAAGATGGCAAGAGAGCAAAGAGGAACAATATTGTTATTTTCAAATGGGCTTTCTATGACTTCTGCTCTAAATGTTCATTTATGTTCCACCTGACTCCAGAGGAATCTCTAAGGAAAAGAGCAACAGTGCGCTGGTTTGGAGACCTAAGTACACACAGTCCTAGAGTTAGAAGGAGTATTACTGGCACATTGTATAGCATTTTGCCTTACTTTTTCTTTTCTTTAAAAGTGCATTTAGTATCTTTAGTAGATGTTATCTACTGTTTGAAAAAGAAAAGCTTTATTGTGCTCTTAAGAGTTTA